ATATTAATAAAAACAGTATTCTTCCACCAAACAATGTAGCTCCTCAGAAACAGTTGTGGTTGCAACAAAGTGGTTGCCGAGCAACATACAAACGTAAACAAAGGTGTGTTACTTTGTAGAGTAATTTACAACAGCTTCGAACGCGGCTCAGCCAATCAGAGTCAAGGACCAGAACTATCTGTTTTATAATGCGGTTGAACCCATGATGTCACATGGATTATTTTAACGATCTCCTTGAACGTTTCTGGACCTTGATCGTGTTAGGATCCTTGCTGTCTATGCAGGGTCAGAGAGCTCTCGGATTTCATCAGCAATATCTTAATTTGTGTTTCGAAGGTGAACGGGTTTGGAACGACATGAGTGTGAGTGATTAATGACAGAATTTTCATTTTTGGGTGAACTATCCCTTTAAGCCCTTTTGTACGTGAGCTGACCACAGCCTCCGCAGTGATGTTTAGCGTGGCTTGACCGTAGTTCCAGCTGTCACCGTAGTTCCCTTCTTTCTGGAAGAGGACGGTGACGGATGAGCCTTCCTGTGCCGTGACCGTCAGACGCCAAACCTCCTCGCCAAACATGTGATACCTCAAAGAGCACAGGCACAAACCGCTTACAGCCGAGCACAAAACAAGCACACTTGGGAAGAGCACTGAAATGTGAACTGTATGTAATGTTTTCAGACAATTGCATGATATTTACAATTAAATGAAAATGTATTATAGATAAATTTATATTAAACTAGCTGAACTTTAGTCTTGCAGGTCAAAAAAGCATGCTTACTCTGATATTACTCTGATAAATATTATATGCAAGTACGTTTTTAAAATGTGCTTTTAAGATTTGAAATGCACATACAATACTTAAAAATGCACATTCAATACTTCTTCACATACTTGATTCATTCTAGCATTTTATCATCTTAATTTGCATTTATAGTACTTTTCATACAGTGTGCACAAATAAGCTGAATGTTTCCAAATGTTACCGCGGGGAGAAAAACTAACCAGAATTGCAGACACACTGATTCCTTTGTAGGAGTCAGAGGAAGACTGTATATACGGATTTTTTTATCTTGACTTCCAGGGGTCCGAGGGGTCACAATGTAGTACCCTATGAGATAAAAACCTATGTTCGTTACAGTACATCAGGTATGCAAATCGCAATCGTAATAATTAATCAAAGTATAAATATAGCTGCAAGCTGGAGTTAAGAGGCAAGCAAAGCAGCGAGCATCAGACCAACTGCAAAAATTAGTCATTTTAAGATGATTTTAGTCAAAATAGCTGAAAAATCATAAATACATTAATTAGTGAAGTGATTTAATGGTTTATTGCTTTTGACCAATAGGTGGCGCTGTTATCAGATTGATGTGGCGTGGTCAGTGTGAGGTGACAATGACACAGAGTTTGGTGTCAGAATGTCAAATCATTGCAGAGATACAGCCTCAGATATAATATGTGGATATAAATCCATAACTTTTTGCCGGCATGGTCTGAAAAGGATCAGATTCGAACTTAGTGAAAATCGGATGAACAGTCCAGGAGGAGTTCGAAGAAAGTAGGAAGTGAAGTTCGGCTAATTATGACATAATTGGTATCGACGTTCTCGGTATGAGGCAAGGAATCTATCAAAACCAGTCTCATGATAACAGGCAAAAATAATCAAAAGATATGAGCATTTTTTTTTATTTTGCTATCATTTTTGACCTGAAGGGGGTGCTGCCCCATGACTTTTTGAGTACAGGGCACAGTGCCAAAGACACATAGTGAGTTTCGTAATGTTACGCCAATACGTTTGTAAAATATAGCATTTTACGACGAAATTATGGCCAACATAGGTAAACTGGCTCTGCGTCCCAATTCGCATACTATCCGTCCTAAATAGTATTCGAAAACAGAATTAGTATGTCCCAAATCACAGTATGTTAAAAAAAGTATGCCAAAGATTCCCGGATGGTCTACTACTTCCGGTTAGAATTGGAAGTGCAGATCGATGCACGATCTAACGGCTAATATTGCCCACAACACATTGCGCGGTGGACGAGGATTCCATTAGAACTACAAACACGCATAAAAAAGGTTTAAAAACTACAAACATTGTGAACTTTTATAATGATACATTTGGTCATTAACTTTTAAATGCATCATTATGCAAACAAATGAAGAGAGTTCTCGGCATGAAAGACACACGATGTGCCTCTTCATTTCTCTCCAATACGGTAGGAAATTAAATGAAATTAAATGTGATTTTGTTAACTGTGATAAGATGATTGACAGGACAGTTTAAACCGTGACAGAATGCACGTAACTAAGCAACAGAGCGTTCATTAAAGACACAGTTATGACGAAGTAGTCTGTTCCAAAGCTTGCATACTATTCTGTTACACACTCAAAAGTATGTACTTTTTCTACACAAAAAGAGTACATACTTTTAGGGCATAGCATAAGTAGGCGAATTGTGATGCAGCATGGGTATTGTTCAACTCTGTATGGCGCACTGAAACTTAAGAGACCAGTGTTGTAATTTTTGGCGAAACCATTCAGAATTTATAAGCAAAAATAGCCATTTTTCATATCTCCTGATCACTAGGTGGCGCTGCGCCAAAACTGTGCAGGTATCCTCAGGTCATGGTTATTATAACACCCACCAAGTTTGGTCTCAATATGCTGAAGCGTTGTGGAGATATAGCCTCACATCCGTTTTGGCATGCTTTTCGACCAAATTCGTTCACGTGTTATTCAAGAACTGTTCGAATAATCAACTTGACTTTTAGTCAGCATGCTCTGAAGATGATCTGGCTCGATTTTTGTAAAAATTGGAGCAATAGGGTAGGAGGAAAAATTCAAAATGATGTCACAGGATGCAATCAATCCTTCAGCCAAGGAGTCAGAGGAAAAAAATAACTTTTTTCAAAAAGTTATTAGCATAAACACGAGTGCAATTTTAAGCTGTTGGTGGCGCTAGAGGGTTTGCGATACAGACTCCAAATTTGCTATGGTTAGTATTGAGACTGTGCTCTATCTGTGTGCCAAATTTCACATTTTTCTATACGGCTCGGAGCTGCCACAGACTTCCAGAGCGGAAGAAGAAGAAGAAAGTTTAGTCTGTAATTGTTGTTGTATTTAATGGCACCTGATTGGTCTCCGGTCGTGTGGTCGAAGCTTGGGCCGGTGTTAGGAGGGACAGTAGCGCCTTGTGCTCGAAACCAGTCACCGTCGTCATCAAAATCTTGCCTCCAGTGACAGAAGTTCTCTTCAAAGGAGCAGTTTACCTTCTCTTCATCTACCAAAGACCATAGAATTCAACACAAGCTTGACGTTTCAGTAATAACTCCCAATATGATCAAATAAGCAAGTTGGCATTTTTGCACTTCAGGTTTTTTGAATGAGAATCTAACTCAAACTTTATATCTTGCAGATTACTTTCTAGTTCTTGAGAAGCTTCAAGTTGTGCGCATTTGTGAAGATGATCTTGGAAAGACATTTAAGAGCCATAAAGTGGTCACACACTGCAAAAAAATGATTTTCTTAGTATTTTTGTCTTGTTTTCTAGTATAAATATCAACAAAAAAAAATCTTCAATCGAGATGCATTTACTTGACTTAAGATATTAAGTCTTGTTTTCTGAAAAACAAAAACAAAAGAAAAATAATCTTAATTCAAAGGCTAAACAAGATTATTTTTCTTGCCCTATTGGCAGATATTTTTGCTTGTTTTTTCAGAAAACACAACATAATATCTCAAATCATTTTACTTGTCAAGTAAATGCATCTTGATTGAAGTATTTTTAGATATTTATACTAGAAAACAAGACAAAAATACTAAGAAAGTCATTTTTTTGCAGTGCAGAGCTTATTTTCTGCAATAAAACGACAACAGTCGTCGCTTCAGGACTCTATATGCCTGTGAATAAAGTAGAGCACTCTATAAATTGACTCAATGTCAGTATAAGCTGAAATCAACACCCACTAGAGAGATCTTTGACGTTCTCTGCCGTGTAAGTCGCGTTGAATCCTTGAAGGCTGTTGACGTAGTCTGCGAAAAACTCAACAGTGGCTTCATGCGATAAGAGCCATATGTCTCCAGGAGATGCGCCTGAGAGCGAGTCTGAACGAGAAAGGATGATGTCAAGACTTCAGAAGACTTCCTTCTCGTAATATCAGAGTTTTGTTGTGAATCTCACGTGTCAGTGCTTTCATGGGGCCCGTGCCCTCGTACAGCCTCAGAACGTCGATGTCCTGCTCCGTATGGAAAGTGTGAAAGACTATTTTGACGGCCGAGCCCTCAGTCACTCTGTGTGTGAAATGACAGGCTGTGTGAGTTTGTGAGACACCAGAAATATCTTCCAAATATTATCATTTATTTTCATGATGTTGGAGAAGTTGTGGTGAACTTAAAGCTCATTACACTCGTACAGTATATGTGATCCTGGAGCACAAAAGCAGTCATAAGGGACTTCAAGGGACATCATGAATAAATAACTTTCCATTGATGTATGGTTTGTTAGGATAGAACAATATTTGGCTGAGATACAACTATTTGAAAATCTGGAATCTGAGGGTGCAAAAAAATCTAAATATTGAGAAAATCATCTTTAAAGTTGTCCAAATTAAGCTATTAGCAATGCATATTACTAATCAAAAATTCAGTTTTGATATATTTACGGTAGGAAATTTACAAAATATCTTCATGGAACATGATCTTTACTTAATATCCTAATGATTTTTGGCATAAAAGAAAAATGTATAATTTTGACCCATACAATGTATTGTTGGCTATTGCTACAAATATACCCCAGCGACTTAAGACTGCTTTTGTGCTGTAGGGTCACATATTTTATACCTTTAAAATAATACATTTAAAAAAAAATCTGGACAGAAGTAATTCAGGTAATAGAAGACATGTTTAAGAAATCAAATATAATAAAGATACAAAATATAGTTTTGTGTATAGGAACTATGCTACTTAGTAAAGATGAGTTATATTTATTTAGAATATTGAGAATTACAGCTTTTAAAGCAATAACAACATTTTGAAAAAGAGGGAAGAATCCCCGGCTTTAAGTGATCGGTTAGATTTAGTTTCTAAAGTACACTCTATGGAAAGGATAACATAAGGAATAACTACTGGTAAAAAAAATATTATGTCTTCAAAGGAAAAATTCACTTGCATAATTGTATTAAATGTGTTTTTGAATTGAAAGACATAATAAAGTATTTAAAAACCCAACCCTGAAACAACTTACAGAACTACCACATTTTGCTACAAGTTTGCTTGTATCATATAATAATTGCTGTTAATAGTGTTCATCGTCTGTTTGATTAACAGACCGTCTTTAATTGATTTTTCCGTACATTTCTGCCATATGTACATTAACTGACAGTCACCACTGATAAGCTACCACTAAATATATTGTAGAAACTTAATTTGCTGTAAAGTTGCTTTATTACAACAATTTGTATCGTGAAAAGCGCTATACAAATAAACTTGAATTGAATTGAATTGAAAGAGTTTGTGAGATAGTGATGTATGTGTAGATGCGTCTGATTATCATATTACCGTATGATCCAGCGGCAGGCCGTGGGACTGTCATAGACCTCGGGAAAGTGTTTTGAGTGGAAGAATCCGGTCGCTCCGAGCAGAAGAAACTGACCGTCACACTCTGTTGCTACAGCGCATGAAAGACACTGCATGCATCACAATGAATGCATCTCAAAAGCACTAGTATTGTGTGTGTGTGTGTGTGTGTGTGTGTGTGTGTGTGTGTGTGTGTGAGTGTGTGTGTGTGTGTGTGTGT